ATCAATGCTAGATCATACCAGGGTAACCCAATAGCTTTCTTTCAGATGGTTGTTTTCATGGAAGGCAAAAGAAATTTCAAAGGCCTCATCTCTGTATTTCAGTAAAGCACTTGATGCAGTGCCACACAAGAAACAATTAGTTAAACTGGAGAAGATAAGAAAGGCAGAGGAGTTGTGAGGGGCAGGGAGGGAGAAGTTAATCTGGGAAGACAGCAGCAGCAAGATCACCTATCAAAGTCTAGCAAAAGGTTACTTGTTACGCTCCCTGTGCTCGCCCATGGGATTAGCCTTTGCTAATATTAACCTCAGACCCTATAGCTATAGATAGTGAGGAAGTATCCTGATAATTCAACACTAGAAGGCATTGCTAGTGCAGGGAAGGACCAGGACATCATAGAGAAAGCCTTATTTGACCTTGGCAGGAGTACCAGAAACAGAATGAATTTCAGTAGTGCGACAGACAAGGTCATATGCTTGACAACTAATAATAGAAATCTTCTGTAAGCTGGGAACTCTGTGAGATCTGGCAGAGAGCACAGCAAGCAGGACTAGAGGCAGCCCTTGTCTTCTGGGAACTGTTGGGCCAATTTTGCCAATGCTCAGTGAGGATCCCCAGTGTAAATTGTATTGCTCCCTGCTGCCCACAAAAAATTCAGGGAACTTTCGTCGTCGGCCAAGATGTGTCCTGAGATTCTTGCTGAAAGGCAGCTGGGTAGACTCATTAGGTAAACATATCCTGAGAAAGCTCAGGAAAAAAATGCTGGGATGGTGGCATGGTGGTGAGTGAAAGTGTGATGCAGTTGTGGACAAAGCAAATGCTGTTCTAGAAAGTACTTAGGGATGTTTTCCCAGTAGGGAAATGCATGGGCACTCCTACCCAAAGCCCTGTGAAACCTCCCCTCTAGTTTGTGTTACAGCTTTGGTCGAAGGAATACAGGCTGACACAGGAACAGACAGGATGAAAAGATGATGAGAGGAAAGGGAAGTCTGACTCTGTGAGAGGAACCTGGGAGCACCCAGCTTGTTTAACCACATGCAACCAAGCCAAAGTGGATAGGTTTGCTGTAATAGATGCATCTTGGAGGAAACATTTAAACTAAAGCACATGGTTGTATGGAGATAGTGTAGTACAGATAGGCAATGAAAATATTTAGAGTGGAAAATTAGAAGAGGGTTTCTATCTGTTGGGGTAATGCATCTTTACCCAGAATCTGAGGTAAAAAGACAAATGGGTTTAAGCTGGAGCTTGAGAAGTCTGTAAAAAGGAGGTAGTGCCTTGAATAGAAAGAGCTGAGACCATGTTAGTCTGCCAACCCTTCTCCATCACCAGGGAATGGGTGAAGTCCCTGGTCTCACCATGCCACAGTACAATAATAAGCAATGGACAAGGTGCAGGATGGTCACTCAAGGATGAGTGCAGCATTCCCTTTGGGCACAAGGATGGGCCTTCTTACCATCTAGTTCACACACTCCATGATTTTAGTCATGACTGAATAAAAATATGTTTGTTAATGCAGCTGAAAGCCCCAGCACAGCACCTGGAAGTCCAGAATGTAGGGGTGATCTAAACTCTTCTCTCAGCCTTTGGCAGCGTGGTGGTTTGTCTTGATTGATTTAGGTATTGCAAATTAAGGAATTGTGAGTAGAGAAACCCCTGCTTATGACAACAAGCCCTTGGAAACCAGGTGGGGATGTGGGGGCTGGTGTGTTTTGTGGCAGCTGAGAAGCGACAGTTGAGCAGAGCAGAGAAGGGAGAATCTGAAAAGCAGCTGGTCAGAGGCACTCACTGAAAAGGGAATGATCAGTCACAAGAGGATGAAAATAAGGGGGAGAGAGAAATAATAATTGGGGAATCAAAAACAAGTATGACCAGTGGGAGAGATGTGAAAAACAACCATATGAGGCCCTGAGTAGATGAAAAAAGTGGAGAATTCTAGAAGGGGACCATCCTCTTAAATAAAGGGCTAGATTTTCTCTTGCTAAGAATTGCTTAAATCTGGAGGCTCTTGTATAGAATGCAGTGAATTCATACTACTAAAAAGGTGGCTATGAGTGGGATCAGAACCAGTTATCCATAATCTGGCTTCCTCAAAATTACTAGTTAGGGGTTTGCCCTAGTATTTCCATATGACTCCACCTTTAAAGTAGGAACAATGTTCACACAGCCTAGTGAGTGGGCTGTGAGACATTGTTTGGTGGGCAGGAGTGGGGAAAGGTAATATTTATGATTTTATGGCAAAATCACGTCATATGTACAATACAGAGCACAGGTATTCATGGATGAGAAGAATACTTCTAAAAGGAGGAGGAAAAACTGTAAACAGTGTGACGATAGGCTACAGTGTTGTCCCAGAGGTGAGGAAATGGTTTGCAGGCAAAAGACTTAGTGAACTCAATCTGCTTTTTTTACCTAAAAGAAGACTGAGAGATGATTGGATTTAGAGCATAAAGTGCCTTCGCGGGGAGAGGTGCTGGTTACTGAAGGTTTATTTTTTTAATCTAGGGGAGAGAAGCATAACAAAAAATGTGATGGAAACCAAATAAATTCAAATTAGTTAGTAAGCATGAATGCTAACAGTGAGCATGAATAGTTAGTGTAGTAAGGTATGAAGGGAAACAGGATTTTTCCCTTTCTTGAATGTTTTTTAAATCAAAGGTAGATGCCTTTCTGGAAGATTCGACTTAGCTGCATGTAAACACTCACTGTTGGTCTTTCTACAGGATAACTTCTTTAATTTCTGTTTCATAAGCTAAACAGATTGAGCTCTTTAAGCCTTTCACAGGAAGGCATTTTCTGCCACCCTCAAATAATGTTTGTGGTTCTTTTCCACACGATTTCCAAGTAGCGTGCAATACGCAGAAGGTCAGACTGGATGATCTAAAGTCCCTTCTGGCCTTTATATTCTCTGAATCTCTGCCTCTGTGAATTCATTAATGTTTGCAAGCTCCCAGAGAGCTGCCAAAGGCAAGCACTATAGAAATGCAAAGCATTGTTGTTTCTCTGCATATTTCCCCTGAGCTTTATGCAGAGCTGGTTGAATATCTCAGGGTATGGTCTGTGCGTGTTGCCTCAAATGAAATACCTGCGTCCCTTCGCTCCTTCGGCGCCCTTTGCGACTTGATTTTCTGCGGCTGTTGTAACAAAACAAGTTTATTCCCGAGTTAGGACGCAGAAAAGGCAAATGGGAAGGGGCAGATCTCTGCTTGGAGCCCCAAGCAAAGAGTGGCACGTTGTTGTCCTGGCCCAGCAGCTCCATGCGAGGCAGAGTTATTCTTAGCATCGCGCTTTGCTTCCTCCTTGGCTCCAGGTGCCCTGCACATGGTGTCTGCCTGGCTGCAGCACAGCATAACAGTAGGAAGGACAGATCTGGCCCCTGTTGGTTGCTTTTCCCCCCATCCTCTGTGGGGAGAAAAACTGTGGTTTTGCTGCCTTGTCCCCAGATTTCCAGGGCTCCTACAGACGGGAAGAGCTCTCCGAAATGACACAGGGAATCTTTATTTACTTGCACTGCATTCTGTAACCGTCCTCATTGGGGAATGCTTATTCTTTTGTTTGTATTGTTCTTGGAGGGAGGGCTCTTTGGTCCTCAGAAATCCCATGCTAGGACTTGCACTTATCTGATCAGCTGACCCTCTGACCTGTGCTTCCAATCAGTGCTGGCAAACGCTCTTCAAGCCAGCACAGCAGTCTGCTGATGAACAAGATACTGAAGAGGAATTCTATTTTATACATTTTATATGTTATATATTACATATTTACATGGTTATATATGGTGTTATATGTGTGCATGAGTAGATAGGTAGGCAGGACAAATGCATTTGCCAATATAAAATAATAATCAAATTATAATAATCAAATTGCAGAAAATTACAGCCTGCTCCCAGATAGTTCATGAACTGAAAAAGCCTGGAGTCATCAGATGAGTGTGTTGGCTTTGCTTTTTTTCTATTCTGTGTTTCTGGTATTATATGAACTGCTTAGCAGTATCTGTGTGCACTCCTCTACCTACATGGCAAAATTAGACTAAACTATGTGTCATAGACACCATGGTATTAAACAATACTGGTGACTCTCTTGCAGCACATACCTTTTTAGCAGCACAGATGCTTCAGCTCTTATCGGATTAAGAGTATCTGGGTTCTGTTCCCAGTTTCTCTCTGAAGATCAGCCTGAGACTAACAGGGTGACTTGAGTATAGCAGTGTGAGTAGGGTGGCACAAGGGTTTGCTTGTGGTGGGGCTTAACATCTTTTGTGGTTCCACATGCGTCAGGATGAGCTTTTTTCTCACAGGATGAGAATGTGATGAATTGTGTATGCTTAGCACTGAAAGTGGCAAAGTGGGGAATTTAAACTTCTTAGCTGTGTGTGATAGACCAAGCCAGTGAACAGCTGGTGGAGAGACTCTTTTAGCTCCAGGGGTGACAGCTTGTGTACTTGGGGTGCAATAGGATTAGACTGCAATTTCCATCCATTTCAAAATAACCTTGCTCAAGAGGGTCAGGAATCTGGAGATGTAGGAAGCCATAGCTCACTATTTGTTACATTACGTTCTAATTAAAAAAAAAAAAAAAAAGGCTTTTGGAATCAAATTTGACCTGAATATAACTCCGTTGGCTTCTGCGTTCTTACACTAGGGATTAATTTGGCCCTTTCTACTTTTATGTAATGAGCTGATTGCCACAGTATCTTATCCTTGTTACACAATCACCCTTGTCTGGCTGTGTCCCTGGAGCACTGTGTGTGTGTGTTTCTAGATCTGGGGTCTCACCTTGACTGTGTGTCTAGTCCTAGAGCCTCACCCTGAGTTACACTGATATACTCTGTGTGTGTGTGTGTGCATGTTCATTCCGAGTTCCAACAGTGTGTACAAACCAGCATACATATATGGGAATTGAGGGGCTTTCTCATTTGGCTGGCTGTATCCCTGTGGTGTTTGCTTTTGCAGGGGGCAAGAAGAGAGGGAATTTTATTATCAGAGATCTCATTTAAACAAGAAGGAGCATAGGAAAATACATTCTTTATTATTATTCTGTAACAACAAGCCAGAAATATAATATACCTTTAAAAATTTTCTGTCTCATGCCAAAGAAACCTCCATTCAATCATTTTAGAAAATCTTGTCGCTCTCCCTCAAACGGTAACAAAAAAGAAAAAGGAATTACAAGTGCCATCTGTTCCCTGCAAGAAATGTGCCTGTGCCACAGGTGGGTGTGTGGGGAAGGGGAGTGGGGGGTAGTAGAAGGGGTGTTTCTGGTGACCCTGCCAGCCCCTAGATCACCCTGGCATGTGTCGGACCTGCCTGCCCCAGAATACCATTTCCTGAGTGCAGGCGCCTGCGTGGAGCGTTGGTGCTCCTGCCTGCACCAAAGGGTACGTTCAGGGGGGTTCTCCCCATGTCTAGCCATGCCTGCAGGGATAACAGGAGCCCCTGTCTCCACACACCAAAGGAACCCATTGGCTGAGCACGCAAGGAGCACTGGGTGTCATTCTGTATCCAGCATCCCACAGGAGAGCTTTGTTTTGGACCATGCTAGGTACCATGTTCCCTGGTGTGCCTGTGGACAGTGCAGCAGCTCAGTCACACCAGGGCAGCCTGTTTTCCAGGTGTGCTAGGGAAGGGAGGAAGAGCCTGTTTGCAAACAGTGGCATGAAGAGGGTATTTCCCAGTGAACCCAGTTACTCAGCTCTGTGTGTGAGAGGTCCTCATGCTTCCCAGCACAGTATTTGCTTTCCAGTGGGACTCCCCATAGCAGCCAGCCTTCATATTTCTCAGCAGCACTCAGTTCTCTCCTTTCCTGGGTGGGTTTCTAAACATAGCAGTCCCTTGTCTAGGGTTGAGATAAATCCAGACTTTCTGCTGTATAAATTAAAACAAAAAAAGAAAGGATGGGCAAGGTCATCATCAGCCCCACAACACAAGATATAGAAAATATTATTAGCAACAAAGAAAAATTGGTCAGGGCTGGAGGAAGTCACAGGGAAGGTGCAGGGAAAGGAGGATTTCATCCCCTCAGCCCCTGCAGTGTGCCCTGCCTTTCTCCCATTCATTTTACCTCTGGTCTATTCCCTTTAAAACAGTCTCTCACTCTCTTGCTCACTCACACACATACATACACACACACACATATATAGATCCCATTTGTTTTGTGCAATATTTCACCATTATTTGATGCAAGTAAAATATAGATCTATAAATATACCACTCTGACTCAAGTCCCATTTCAAGTATGATTGTGGAGTCCAGTATGGTAAAGGGAGAAGTTCCCCTGAGAGGGAGGTTGGGGAGAGGTTTGGATCCAGCAGGCAGAGTCTAGTCCTGGCTTGCTGGGAATGTGGAGCAGCAGTGACACGCATATGGAGTCTGCAGTGCACCAGTTCTGCCCTTCAGAACGGGCTACACTTGGAGCAGATGGGATGGTTGTAGTGACTATACAGTGTATGGGGTGAGAGTCCTTCCTCCTCACATCTTGCCAGCCCCCCTCCTCCTCTTCCAGTTCCTCACAAGAAGTGTGCTGGGAGCAGGGGTAGAATGTGTGTGCACACTTGTGGGTGGACTGCTTCTCCCAATTGTTCCTCCATGGCAGCCTTGTCTTCTGCTTCCTGAAGAACATCCTCCCCCGTCCCATGCGTCCCTGTGTCGAAGGAAAGTCATGCTTAAACAGCTCAGAGTATCCTGTCTCCTTGCCTCTGGTGACCCTGGGTAGACCAGGAGGGATTTTGCCACTCCAGGCTTTGATTAAAGATGTTGTGTGCCCGTGGGTCAGTACAACCACCTGTCTGGGGCCAGAAGGAGGTGAGGAGCCAGCGTGCATTGATTCCACAGGGATCCGGTCACAGCGAGCGGGAGGGCTGCGAGATGTCCGAAGGCATCGGGATTCAGATGGAGCAGGTGGAAGAGGTGATGTGCCCTGGCAGGGTCCACCTGCAGTGCATGCTGGGCTCTGAACACAGGTTGCCAGCGAAACACCCTGCAAAGCTGGGCTGGCTGCCAGCTTGTTTCCTCATGGCAGGGATCACACCATCCACAGGCACTGTGGATGCATGACCTCCGGTGTCATCTTCCTCGCCCAGGAATACCCACTGTGACGGGTTAGAGCAGGTTACCATGGCAATGTGCGCTCTCCCCTGGAGACAGCATTTTATCCCACTTCCAGTGATACAAAATGAGTCCTTATGTCGAGTTCCTTTCATTTTTTTTTTTCCCCTCTCACTTTTTTTTTGTTTTTTCCCCTGTCAGGTCAGAATGAGCAAAAACTAATAGGAGGCACTGCAGTCTGAGGGCTTTAAAGTCTGACTGGGGGAAGTCACCCTGCGTGACAGTGGCAGTGTGCGCAGTTGCGTGTGTGGGCACGCTCGTGTGCAGCTGTGGATGGCGTCAAACACACCAGTGATGGTGAGGGGAGCGTATGTGGGCTGTGCTGCCTTCCATGCCGGACCCTTCCTGGGCTCTCCCACACCTGCCACGCTGTGATCCAGGTCTCAGCCTTCAGCTCAAGACCCCTCAGAAATGCGCCCACCCTTTTCAGTCACCTCAGCTGCGTCACCCTGCTCCACACGCCATGCAGACCCCTCTGCCAGCCATGCCAGTTGTGTGACTTCTTCCCCTGGCACCTTTCCCCAGGCTCACACTACTCAGCGTGGCTTATGCTACTGAGGCCGGTAAGCCACCTCCTCCTCTAGTCTTTCCTGATGACCCAGTTCTACTCTGCCAGCCAAACATTTCTAAATGGAGGCTTCATATCCTTACCCTCTCCATTTATCAGAGAAAACATAAAACAGATAAGAAGAATACACCTTATTTTTTTCACAGACTCATGCTGTAATCTCAATAATTTTGCCTCTCTCTGCTGTCTCCTGCCAGTTTCCACTGGCTCTGCACTAGGGCTGAGATGTCTCTGTTAGCTCCTCAGTGGCAGAGTGTGCATGTATTTTGTCTGAAGCAGAAGGTGATATGCAGTGCTGTGATCAGGGTAAGGTAAAGTGGCTGAATGTATTCAACACACAGAGGGCAGATCAGCATGGGCATGTGTGACTCTGCACGTGCAGGTGGGGTGCCTGGATATCTGGAACTGTGGCTGGCTGTGTGTGCGTGTTGGGATCAGAATGAGTCAGTGTGTCTGTGTACAGGAGGGTGACTCCATGTCTGTGCACCCGTAGGAGATGACGTGTGTGTCAGCTCACAGATTTGGACTTGGCCAGGAGCAAAAAGAAGGACACTGCGCTCCTGGCAGTGTGTTAAAGTGACACAGGTTATCTTTCCACCTTTAAAAATGAGAAGGGAGCTCTCCCACTGACTGTTGTCCTACCCTGGGGACCTTCCCTCCCTTCTGATGTAAGGAGCACTGACTTACAGGTAATGACCCTAACAGTGAGGCATGGACACTTCTGGTGTCCTGCTTCCCACACAAGCTTTCACAGAGCTGCTCTCAGTTTGCAGAGAACTCTTGACAGGATACAGGATGACTCAGGACCAAAGCTGAGAGAACAACACAGGTTCCCAGAATGTGCCAACTGCCTTTGCAGGAGGCATGTGAGGGAAGCTCTGTGCAAGGGCATGAGGCACAGCAAGCACTCGAGGTCTGACTCTACTTTATTTTGTCTGGGAGGCCCCAAGGGTGAAAGGGCACAAAATGGGCCTGGGGCAGAGGAAAAGAAATTGAGCCAGGTGCCCTGACCCCCCAGAAGCATGTTGCACTACTTGGGTGAGTGGAGCAATAGCACAGTCTGTCTCTCTGTCTGGGAAGATGTATTTTGGGAGGACCCCATGCTTGACTGCTCTCAGGTACCTTTTTTCATCGCTGTCCCTTCCTTCCTAGAAGAGTTTCACGCCACAGAGGAGATTTGTTTTTGTTCTTCATGTTCACCTTCTGTGTCACCCATGAGCGGCTGCCTCTTCTTCAGCTCCCGGTGGTACTTGGCCATGAGGGAGGCGTAGATGCAGCCGTAAGCAGCTGCCACCACCATCATGATGCAAACGATGCCGCAAACCACCCCTGCAATGATCACAGTGCCAATGGCCCGGCGCACGCTCACGGGCCTGTATCGCTGTTTCTGAGGGCATCCCACACTGGGCTCCACTTCTGTTTCTGGGCCTGATTTAGATTTGGAAGGAGTTGGGCTGCCTTTAGTGCAGGGTGGGCCAGTATTGTCCAGCACAGTAGAGCTGTTCTCATCATCCAGCTGGGAGCAGTAGTTAAACATCTCCATGGGTACCATTCGCATATCCTTCCCTTTCAGCTCCTTGGGCAGGGTACATGCCAGTTGGTCAATTTTGCCACCTGTTCCAATAGAGACAACAGGAGTGAATCACAGCTTCATCCTGTGACAGTGACAGCAGAGATAGATCCTAAGGTGGGGTGAGTTCATGAGCCCCCATTCACGTCTCTAAGTATTTTCCCTGCAGAAGTTTCAGCCATGTCAGCTGGCTGATATGATTCTGCCTAGGCTGGATTCCACACTAGAGCTCATGGTGCATGATACGTGCACAGACATCTTTCAGGCCAAGACATGAAAGCCCTCTGAAACCATTTATTAAGTCAGCCCCATATTGTTTAGTGAGTTATGTAAGTGTCGGTAGAACCATTTTATAAAAGGAGAAATAAAAGCAAAAAGATAGGACCAGGCTGTGTCTTCTCAAAATAACAACAGATACATGGTCCCATCTTCTAACAACAAATCCGTCTCTGTGAAAATAATGACAGATGATGAAACAAATGCCTGAGCGAGTTTGGGCAATTTCTTTGGAAGGGGACTTAAAAAACAAAGTTACCTCTGTGTGCTTTCCATCAACATATTGTGTGATATGGGAGTCAAGAAAGAAAACAAACCAAAAATGAAAAAAAAAGACATTGGCACTTGTATGCTTTTTTGATTCTGCTCACACAAATGCATATTTCAGACTGCAGTGTAGCCATAGGCAGAGATAATCTTCTTGCAGCATGGCTGTGATCAGCAGGGATGTGACAGCTGACTGTTGCTATCCGCATGATTTGAGACCCTTTCCTACTCGTTGGCTTCAGCAACAGAAGGTCAGGCCTTCAATCGTCATTCCTGTAAAATGTGCCATCTTTCTTTGAGTTGCAGCTCCTAAAAATATGTCATCCCATCAGCATTCCCCATAAGTGATATGTACCTTTCAGCCTTCTATGTTTCAAGGAAAACGTGGAAATACAAACTTGTCAAAAACTGCTTGCTTTAAAATGATCATTTTATAGCCAGTCTGACTTGGGGCCTGGCTTGTAAATTTGAGCTTTCAGTTTAGGTTTACCAATATTAGTTGGAGTGTTTTTCCTCAGTGGCACCTTTGCCTTGGTTCTTTTGTTGGCAGAAAACCTGATGCTTTATAGCCAAATCTGACTTTTAGTTCTCTTGGCTTAAGAAAGAGAATGGGATGGCTATTTTCAAGTGTGAAAAGGATTTCTTCTCTTTAGGCAGAAAGGGTGAGGTGAACTCATAATCCTAAAATTTTGATGTTACTTGGGGAAAGTTCTTTCTTCTCCCAAGGTTAAAAAAAAAAAAAAAAAAAAAAAAGAGGGGATAATTGTTCAGATTAGAAACAAAACAAGGGAATAGGAGATCTGGGGCTGCAGAGGACTCCCCAGCCTGGCAGTGTTGTTATACAAATGTGCAGTGGCACTAAACTGTGGTATGGTCCTCATACTCTTTTGGCTAAGACCTGTCATTCAGGTCAGCCTGTTCTGACAGATGTATCTGCTCGTGTTTCTCCCCTGCCTTTTGTTTGCCCGTCGGTGGAAGACCAGCACTTCTGCGCTTTCACTCCCGCAGCACGAGCACCTACCTCGGTAGGAGAACCACTCCATCCAATGTTTGAAGTCTCGGAGGTTGCAGTCACATTCCCAGGGGTTATCCCCAACCTGGAGTAGCTGCAGGCTGGTTAGCGGTTCGAAGGTCACCCTGTCCAGGCTCTGCAGGCGGTTGGACCTGAGAGAGAGGGAGCGGAGAGCAGGCAGGTCGTCAAAGATTCCCGAGGGGATCTGGGCCAGGCCGTTGATGGAGAGGTCCAGCTGACGCAGCAGGGCCGTGTGTTGTAATAGGTCCTTGTCCAAGGCCCTAATGCTGTTGTTCCTCAGCTGGAGCTCTGTGAGGTTCCCCAGGTCACTGAAGATGTTCTGAGGGAGCTGGTCCAAGAAGTTGTTGGATAGATCCAGCCTCTGTAGAGCGGAGAGGTTGGAAAACACTGCTCCTGGCAGGATGCTGAGTTTGTTGTTGAGAAAGAGGAAGGTCCTGGTGTTTGTGGGGATGTCTGAGGGAATGGAAGAGAGGCCCAAACCACTACAGTCCACTTCCAGGTTGCCACTGTTACACTTGCAGGAGGAAGGACAAGCAAAGAAGGACTCAGCAGCACATAGCGACAGCCAACAGCCAAGCACTGGTGGGTGAAAAGCAGGGAAGAAAGAGTGCATGTATTAGAACAGTGCTTTCCCACCCTCACCCATTGCCACCTTGAGCACAGCTACAACCACAGTCCAACCCTCACAGCAGGACCCTTCCCTGCAATGCCCTGCAGTGTAATGAGTTTCCTCACAGCTACATCCCTTTGCTGGCCTGCACCCTCACACCGTGACTTTCCTCTTAGCCTTTCTTTCTTATGAGCAAGTAAATATCCTTCCAGTTTCACAAAGAAGTTAGAACAGTGCATCCCAGAGGACTTTGCTGACAGATACTGGAGCACTGGTACCTGTCAGAGGAGAATGGAGCAGAGAGCAGTGGGAGGTGTCACCTCTGATAAAGGACAACTCTTTCTAAACAGTCGGGGTAGAGGGAGGAGGGACCAGTTTGTATTTAAGAAGCTCTATTTTCTTCAGGAATAGACATGTTAGTGAAGAGTTATTAAGAAAAAGGAAAACAAAACAGCCTACATCTCATTTGCACTCCTGCAGTTTGAAATTCTAAGATTTGTGATAGATCAGACTCAGCTTCTAAGTTAGCCTCTACATCAGGGTATTGTTTGCTTTACCATATTCATAGTGTGTCGCGTGGGCCTTGTGTCCACTTCTAGTGAATTAGATTACATTACAAGGGGATGACCAAGAAAGCTGGTAAAAAGTAAGAAGAAGTCCCTGGACTGGACACATGGAACTTGCCACTTCTCTCAAAACAGTTTCGTGATCCTATAGCAATAGCCCCGGAAGTACCTCCTCTGACTAAAATTGCCCACAGCAATGGAATGAGGAAAAAAATTGCAGGTTGGTAACTGAAGAAAGGGGTGTTACGAAAAGGGTTACCATGTGCACCCTTTCTCCTTCAGTATCTCAAAGTTAAGGTCAGACAGTCCACAAATCTGCATTTTTTTAGAGACTGCTCTGGATCACCATTCCAGACATGGGTCCAGGTTCTCTTAGTGGAATCAGGACACTTGTTACCAACCCTCCCTGGGTGCCAGTGGCTTCTAAAACTCCCATTTCTGTACCAAAGAAGCAATAGCAACAGGAAAGCGAGCTTTGTGCCTCCTGTCATTAGAGGAGTGGGAGTTATGTTTTAGCAGACTATGTAAAACATTTGCATCCTTCATCTTAATTCCTTTCATGGAGTTGAGCTCGCACAATGAATTCCACAATTTTTCAATGTGGGAAGCAAATTCAGCTCCCTCACAGTTTTTAAGGTGACAAGTTTAAGCATTTAACTAAAACTGAAGCAGGTTTGTCTGTATGTCGTGCCCTGTCCTCTCTGTTTCTCACTTTTCTGCAGAGAAGGCAGTCACTTAAGGGTCAGTTTTAGGGGTCTTTTTAGGGGTGAATGGTGGCTAAGGTGGATGCATTTTTTGTCTAACCATTCTTTCCTAAACTGAAAATCAGTTTCTTTTGTCCTGCTTTTTTTCAAAGAACCAACACACAGGTATTTTGCTTCTTAACCCTAAAGGAATTGTGAAAGGACTGACACAGAGGGAACCAATGGAGACACAAGCTCTGGAGTAGCTCTTCCTGGAGCAGTTCTGAAGTCAACCATGCTCTTCCTCTCTTCCCCTGTGCCACTCTTTAGAGCTCAGTCTGACCCATAGGCCATTTTTTATATTGACTTGGCTTCTGTCAGCAAGGTGCCTTCATACCCTGTCATCCTGCATAGGGTGTTTTTTCTGTTCCCAGAGATCCTTGTGAGAACTGGCAGATTTGTGGACTGGTAGCCTAAGGAGAAGTACCCATTTTGCATCCTAAGCTATATAACTTTATCAAGGACCAAGGGATAAGCATTCAGAGACAGTGACCCAGCTCTCTCTTATTTTATCCATCTTTCTCAACCCTTCAAGAATTTTTTACTGTCCTACAGTTGAGATCTCAGGTGTACGTCAGCCCAGGCCATGCCAATATGTGTGACCTTTTAACAATAGTTATGGATCCTTATGGTGAAATACAAGACAGATCTTTATCCTGAGCACCTCTGTGCTTTCTTGGCATGCAAGTGTTGGGGTCCACAGCAGAGATTGCCATGAAAGCAGATTGTACCCTCTGGACTTGCAGTACAGGTACTGTCTGGCTGACTGATATTTAATTCTGTTCAGAATACGTCACAGCCTTGTTGTAGGAAGAGAATTAAAAGAATGGGAGCTAGAATGGGGAAGGGAGAGAGCCATGAGTCACTCAAGTGACCCCATCTTTTTCCTAGATGCTTAACAAAAGCACAGTATTAATAATAGATTGACAGCTGCGATGATGAGATAACACTTAGCTGCTTTGTACACCAAGAAAGGCAAGAGCAGACCGTGTGTAATGCTATACAGGTGGCATTCTGCTCACAGGGCTTATCTCTCAAAATGCCTGCCCGCCTCCGGCGCCGACTGGGTGGCTGTGGGGTTCCACCAGTATGTGTGCTGGCAGCGGCTGGTAGGAACAAAGTCTCAGGCAGCTGGCTGTGGTTATGTTCAGGAAATGGATTTATGCCAAGTTTCTGCAGCCATGTATAGGATATGCCAAAAATGTCTTGTTGTTACCCATACATTACTGTATGCTTTTGGAAATATTTTGCTAAGATCACAGAGAGAAAAGAAAGCCTGATTTCGTTTTCGTCTCCTTGCAAGAAGTGCATCACACTGGGATGTGAGCTGAGACCAGGGAATTCGTCACACTGGTTAGGATGCAGCTCCATGGGAAAGAGAGGCAGGGAAGCCATAGACAGAACTTGGAGATGTCTTCCAGCCCTACGGAAGGATGAGTACTATGTGTTTTCATGTTAGGGACATATGAAGTTACTTTGTGAGGTGTTTGGTGACTCTAGTAGGTGGCAGAAAGCTGATCAGGTATATCAGATTAAGTCAAGACTCAATAGCATTCATTATAAATAATTTATAAAGCAGTCTGGTCTGTGAGGATGGATTACAAAGATGCCTGTTTTCTGGAGAAGGAAATAATTCCTCCAGCTTCTTACAGCCCCAGATTTGATCAGGAGGACTGGAACAAGGGAAACCACAGACCTACTTGTTGCCTGGGCATGCAGTAGTGATGGACACACTCCAAGTGTTCCCTTTCCTTTGCTGTGGTCCCCAGGTGCTGCTCTGAGATCCAGGTACATTCCCAGAGGGCCACATCACCCTAGCTGTCTCTGCCCTGCACTCAGAGGTACTGTAGCAGTCCCAGTCCACTGGGAATATGCACAGGCTGAATGCTTACAATTTAATTTGAAAGAGATCTTCTTTATTTACTCCTTGATTTTTACTACATGTGGCAGTGCCCAGTAGGAGAATTCCACCTTCACGTCCTGCATTCCCTTCTAAAATCTGGTTTGAGTTCTGCTGTGAAGAGCTGGCAGCCTTGTTCAGCAGCCTATGTATAAACCCCTACCATAGAGAGGAGTCTGCAGCTTATAGGGTACTGATTTGAGAAATGCTCAGGGTGGATCTTTGTGTGATGGTATCTGTCATGCTGTTTCTCACCTGCCAGGCCCACTGGAATTCAGAAGCAATCATCACTCACTGTCCCACTTTAAGCCCATATTCAGCTTTAGAATCTCACTCTCCCTCCCAGCTAGCCTGGCCTCTAAAGGAATCAGGAATTAGTTCAAACATCTCCATTCTTAGCTGTCCCTCTCCCCTATTCTTAACCCTGATGTGACCTATTTTCTTTCCACTCCCTTGACAAACAGGAATATCATACTGAGTACCTGAGTAGGCATTACTTACGACAAGCCTCTTGCCACCTCATGAGGAACCTGCTCCTCCACCGGTGGCCAGCACTTATAGGCAGCATCCTTGTCTTCTCCAGCGTGTCTTCACATCCAACAGCCAGCCTGGCACACAGCCCCAAAAGGAGAAGGAATGACCTTGTAGCCTGCCTGCCAGGTCCTGGAGTGAGAAAGCAGAGCAGAGCGGATGAGATTCAGTTCCCTGGGTGCAGAGCGTGGGGCTGGGCTCAGTGTTGTCCTTTCCCCCCCCCAGCTAGTGTGTTGCCTTTGAGGCATCATCTCTGTTTTGGAGGAGAAATGGAGGATGTTTCAGAAGGCACAGCATGTTGAAGGCTCAATGTTAATTCATTTTGAACCTCACAGTGCAGAACTAAGGCCTGATTCACCCAAGCGCCAGAGAGAGAAGTTTGTGCTTGAATAGCCTGCCATGGTGGCTACATTAGCCTCATGCTCAAGGTTAGCCTGATGAATTGCTAAGGTGACCCTGCCAGGGCAGCAGACTCCAGCTCATTCCTGTCGCCTCCACGCTGGCTGGTACCACCTGTGCATCCTCTCCCTGACGCACGGCTCAGGCTCACAGAGATCTGGGCACCAGCGGCTGCCAAGCTGCTTTTCTCCCTCCCACCTCCCCCCCCACCCCACCCCCTCCCCGTATTCCCTACCAGCACTTCCTGTCTGTTTTAAGGTAAAATGGATGTGGTGGCTAGAACAGCACAGTTTCAGCTTGGGGATTTCCCACTGCAGCAACTGCAGGAGCTGAAGAGCAAGCGAGCCTCGGAGGAGAAGGAGAAGGAAGGACCTGGGGCGGGGGAGACGGAGTGGGAGTGTTGAAAAGAGGGGAATTGCATCTTAATTAGAAGAAGGAAAAATCCTCAGTCTAATTAGAAACCCAAAGACCATAAACTATCCCCTGACAATAAGTGACTGACAACAGGTTTCAACTTCCCTCCTGCTTCCCTTTTGGATGCAAGGAGGCAGGAAAAAGGAATACACCACGAACCCTTCTGTCCCCCTGCGTACTCTCTGACGTGCCATCCACAGTCGCAGCAGCAGTAGATGGACGCATTTCAACCAGAGTACAGACATAAATCCTGCTCCATCCCCTCTGAGGGGCTCTGACAACATCCACAGCTGTTATTTTAGCTGGGCAATGCGCTCCCACCAGGACGCTCTCCCCACACAAGTGCCAGGGTCCCCTACCCTCCCCCAGGCTCCCATGACTGATTTATTTTATATGGGAATGTAAACCACCAGAAAAAAATATTTAAATTAGCATCTTGATGAGAATGATGAGCAGGTTCAGTGCCTGGACTAGTACATTTGCAAGGCTATTTAGATCACTTACCTACATGTCAATGCACCAAATAGATTAATACCTCTTACGGTACCGAAACTGGTTCGACCTTCACCCGCTGCAACCCCCCACTCCCCAAACTGAGCTGGAACCCTTTCCCTGCAGCCCCCACTGAAGGAGAAGCCGCAACAAATAGCTGTCCCCATTTGGTGCTTGCACTCGACCTGACTGAGGAGACTTTCAGCTTCCCCTATATAAATGTCTCCATCCTAAATGCCACCCTGAAGTCTCCTTTCCTCGCCTGTCCATATTGAAAAGGAGGATGAAAAGCCACAAGCACTTACCTGGAGAGGTTCTGCCTGCAGCCACTTCCACCTGATTCCCCGGACACTGCCCAATTACAGCCTCTTCCTTCCCTTTCCCTCCTTGACTTTCATTCCCCAGCAGCAGGCTTTCTGTGTGCTCTATTTAACTCCCTATAGCACTGGAATAAACGGCAGAGTTAAGCTGACAGCCACAGAGCCTTATCTGCCTGCTGGATAGCGCGAGTCGATCAGCTCCAAATCCTGTTGCCAAATGATCACGTCCTTGCTCTCAGCATCAGGGGCAGCCGCCTGCCACGCTCTGTCTTTCCCTCTTCCCCACCTTCACTCCATCTAACTTTTGTCAGGGTTATAGATAGCCCTGTTCCTTGTGCTCTTGCTTTTTGGCTCTGTTTTGTAACACCCAGTCTGTATCAGCTGGCTCAGTTCCAATTGGGGGGGCTAAGATTTTTTGAAAAAAACAAAACAAAACAAAAAAGCCCAAAATCAGCTTCCTTGGGTGCTTTGTGACTCAGTTTACCCCTGTGATCTCCCCTCAGCCCAGGTCCCCTCTCAGACCATGGGCTGGTGTCTCTCCTGCCCCGCTCTCTGCTCTGTGCAGTTCGCCCGCACCATCCCCAGGTGACAGTGGGGGGCTGAGGGCAGGACTGGCACACCCAGGCATGGGGATGGTGGCAGGGTCAAGATTTCTACCCCTAGATCCTTCTACTCTGGCAGGGCAAGTCCAGCTCTTGCACTGGTTTCTGGTACCTCACGGGCGCCTCTTTCTCCCAGGCAGCACCAAGGCTCGAGCAGAGAGTGCAGGGTGGGAGGAGCAGCCGTGTATAAATAAGCCCTTTCCCTATGTTTAGAATTTATTACAGTGCATAGTGATTAACACCTGTTCAGGCTTTAATGCTGTCTCCTGCACTGCAACATGCACAAAGATGGAGGGGCCTTGATAAACCCAAGATTATTTTAAAAGCATGTCACATACACGCAACACTCCCACCCCATAGATAGCAGCCACCCTGTGTGCACTCATACACGTGTTTCCAAGACTTCAAAGTGACTGCCTTCATGTACAAATGCACATATTCTAGTCACCAATCTAGCTTACAGTTACAAATATGTGCACAGACTTAGGCTTGCACATGTGCTGGGGACTCTTCTGTAACCCATATTTATCAACCTCCATGTCTTCCACATAACTGCCTGCTTCTCCAAGCATACCATATGCTCAGGTGGCAGAACAGTAGATTTGGAATAGGTAGAGGTTCTTGGCTGCTGAAGGGCAAAGCACAGTGAGCTTCTGCACTTGTACCTTGAAGTAGAAGGTTTATGGAGAAATTTTAATTCCAAGGATCCGGAAGAAAACAGTTTCTCCCACGCATTGACTGCCCATAAGCACATTATACCCTTAGTGATTAATATTCCACAGTCAGGAGAGAGCAAGGAAGCAGAGAGGATTTTTGAGGGTTTCTTTTTTAAATGCTTTCTCTGACTTATCTTGAGTTCTGACTTTATTAGCTGTTTTATTGTGGCCCAAGAGATACCTTCTGCTCTGCAGAGCACCAGGCCAACTGCACTCACTGCCAGTGCAGCACTGGGAACACCCAGTCCTGGGACAGCTAGCACTTGCCCACACCTCAAGCCTCTCCATGGCAGCACCAGATCTGTCTGGCTGCTTTCAGCCTGAGAGCCAGGGTTTTTTTCCAGCAGTGAACACTCTGCCAGACCTAGGAGTGCCCCCTGTGTGCCCCCAACTCAAGACAAGAGGCACCGTGCCATTCCGAACCCGCCTGGCATTGCTTGGGTTTGGGGGCTCAAGGCTGATTAGCACTGCTGGAGCTCTGAATGCTCTGAAGTCATCCAAGTCACCCAAGGGCTCCACAAACCAGGCATTAGTCTTTCTCCTGGGCTTACTAAATGGTTCCTTCTCCCTAGAGCAACGTGTCAGCTGAATGCCCTGTGATCCATGGGACACAGTGTCCAGAGCTTTCTTCCATGTACTTGGAGTTGCATGTCTTTTCCAGACTCTGGAGAAATTAACAGGGTAGCCTGTGGCACTGGTGATGCCCTTTTCTTCTTACTTGTTCATATAGGACAGTAAAAGACAACTTTTTTAGTTTCAGCTCAAAGCAACAAAATGAAATCATCCATTTCTGGCCCATGGGCTCCAGTGGCCAAAAATACTCTGAGTTGAAGTGCCACTTGGACATTTGGCCTGCTGTCAGACTCTAGAGGACTCTCTAATGAGGATTCCCCTAATTAGATTGAACAGGGAACTTTACTGCTGAGGCCATGGAGTGGGGGGGGAAGGGGGGGTGTTGCAGAGGAGATTGCAATGATTTTGCAGCACTTGCCAGGGCATAAAAGCTACAGCAGACACTACCCCTGTCTTGTGCTTTGCTTCTCTCTACCCAGACACCAGTAATGTTTGCAGTATCATTCCAAAGCCTTAGCTTTTGTGGGTAGGGTCCCAAGGATCGTGCTATGGGAGTGGGGAGGGTTTCAGTTAACTGCATCCACATACTGTTTTAGTAACGTTTCCCAATTCTGTGGCACTTTCTATCCGAAGCTTTCCATTCGCTCTATGAATGGCTCTTACCATAGTTGTAGGTGGTGTTACTTTGTATTTAATGACCCTCAGAAGAAAGGCTGAGATAATAGCCAGTAGTGCCTCTGCTCTTGGCAGGTGGATAAAGGTATTCCGTTTCCAGACAGCAACACTGAGGCTAGAGAGACAGGTGACTGTGTCACTAGGATGAGACACTGGGAGAAACAGAGCCCAGCAACTTCTCTCTCTGATTGTCTCTCCTAGTCCTTTGCACTAACCCTTGGATCACGGCTCAGGGATCAGACTCCGTTAACAGCCTGGCTTATGAGCATTGGCAGGGCATGTGGGTGACCTACATTTCAGAAGGGTAGGTAGCAGAGGCTGCAACAGATGCCAGCAATAAATTATCAGAAAGTGTACACAGACGTTCATCCCTCCCCCACACTCTCCTTGATAGCAAAGTCCCTTTCCCCTTTCTGATGCTGAATTGCTTTAGCCTTTATCAGAAAAACAGCAGGGTAAGGGAGGGCTTGGAGGATGCTTTAAGGAGATTATCTTCTTCCCTTCCCCTTTCCTTATTGCTTTTAGGATTCATGTTTTATTAGTATCACCCCATAATGGAGGGGGACAGTGGTACCCCAGCACCCAGTGACCAAAGCATGTTATTCTATGCCTGTTCCTTTATCAGCCCTTGGGGGGCAAGAGTCACAGGCAGCAGGAAGAGATGTCAGCTGATTAATACACCCCAAGTGGGTTCAGATGGCATGGAGATGATGCCCATTCTTGGTCCTCCAAGAGACCTAAGTTAGTCATGCAAATTATCAATCACGAGAGGTCACATTGTCGCAGTGGCAGCTCTTCATCTGTCATCTATTTGGACTGCAAAAGCACACAGAGGTGGTAGCAAAGCTCAGCAGCACTGTAGAAACACACAGTGTGTGTCACTGGCCCAGTGAGCTTCTAAGCTAAATAGCTGAGGGCTTCATTTGCAGCACTTGCTGATTTATTAACACATGTGTTCAGGATTCATTAGTGTTGTGCTGTCACAATCAATGGAAAGCACATTTTAAATTCATATGAAAAACCCAGCTGCAGAAGAAATGGTGCCCTCTGACTTGCAGTGATCAATCACAGCTAAGCAAAGCACCTCATACAGAAAGCTGTAAAGGAAGTAGAAAGCATCCAAAAACCACTTGGTATTGTAAGGGACTCTGCCACGTTCCTGACTTGGTGTGACTAAAAACCACACCCTTTTCTCTGTGATGTGAAGAGGTCAAAAAGCTTCTGATTTTTGGATTGGCAATGTGTAGGCATTTCTGAAATGCGAATGTGTTTATGGTAAAAAATATTTCCTCCCCAAGGCCCTCCAAGAAAGATCAACTTTATCCCCATATTATGGAGGGGCAAACTATGATACATAAAAATGACTGTTGGGTTTGGCTGGGTGAAATTTCAGCTGCCTTGCTTTTGATACTTCACCATGAGCCCACATTAGTTCCCCGCTCAGGATTCTCAAAGCTGTCAAGAGCAGCACTTGCACTTGGGCTTGTAAATACTCTCCTGTCCTGCAAAGAGTACTTGTAGGGCTTACCAAAATTACACAGAATAAAGGAGTTTTGGCCAGATTTTCCCAGAGTTTCCCAACAGGCCTATGGCAAAAGCAGGAGAGAAGCCAGTTTTCTTGATTCCTCATTCTGTACCTCAACCAGTACACATCCATCCAAAACCTCCCTGAACAATGCACAGTAATTAGACTGGGAGATGCTGGAGGGGCTGGAAGTACCAAGGACATAAGGCCTCAGCAAACCCTCTGAGAAAGTACAGAGCATCTGAAGGGGAGCCAGAGAGGGCAGCACTACTGGGAAAGACCCAGATTGCTGTGGAGATGTGGAATTCCTTGGGAAGCTGTGGAAGCAGGTGCGGAGACCAGGATATCCAACACAGGAGTGACAGGAAAGTCCCAGCACAGTGCGAGTGCGGCATATGGAGGAGGCCCAGAGCAGCAGCAGGAGGGGAGCTGAGGGGGCAGTTGACAGGAAGAAATCCAGCCCTGTGTGTGCCAGCATCTTCTCCAAGTATTATTGAACGCGACAGACCACGTGCATGTTTCCTCCCTGCAAAACGGAGGCAGCTGAGGAGGCAAGCAGGTGAGGGAGTGGGAGAGGGGCTCAGAGGAGGGACACGTGAGTTGACTACCCAGTTTCCTCCTCTTTTTCTTTCCACAGAGTGATGTTTTCGCTCTTCTCACACTGTTGGCAAAAACTGGTAACCGAGATGTGGAGGGGGGTTCTACGTGAAGGTTGAGATAACATTTTCTGATCCAGCCGGGAACAGTTGGCTGTGGGTGGTGGCTTGTCACCAGCCCTGCCAGTTCTAATCCAGATCCCAGTTTTTCTCTTTCTCTCAGCTGTGAAGAGCCTTCTCTGCAACTTTAATTTCCTGCAGGGGTTAATCCCATGGACAGTGGTAGCTCAGGCCTTTAATCCTTTCACTCAGTCACTTGGCAGAGGGACTGCAGCTGCTCCTGACTTGGCAGGTCTGAGGGAGGCACCCTTCTGCTCCCAGTTCCTCCTTTACACCCCACAAGCATCCTCCATCTCACTGGCATTTGAAATGCTGCTC